GTCTTGAAGTAGACAGCAGTCGCAAATTGCTCGCGAACCTCTAAGATGCTGTCTATGTGGGTGGCCGGCCGAGCACCTGGCCAAAAGAAAACCATGAAGAAACTTGAAGAATATGGAAGAAACAGTAACAGAATACAGAATATCACAGGGCTGCAAAGACTGATGATGTTTCAACGACCTTTCTTCATTCAAGGATTTCAAGTGGATTTCACGGCAACGCAGCCTCTGCATGGGGGCAAAGCAGGTAGCACTCGTAATCCAGGTACACCCTGACAGCATTCTCAGGCTCAGAGACTAACTCTGCGATGCCACCCGTTGAGTTAGCTGTGTCGTGGCGTAGCCGACGTGACGACATTGTGAAGTTTATTCTTCTTAGAAGGGAGAGCTACTGAAAGTTTAAGTTGGTACGGAGGATTGGTGTGACAGCCCCCTATTCGTTGTACTCTATGTAAGAAGCCTCCTTTTGCGACATGTGCCCAAAAAGCCACGCGTGCTACGGACAAGCCGCCATCTGTGCTACAAACAGGCAGCCTGAGAGCAACCTACGGGAACCCACCAAAAAGCATGTTGCCGAACTGACAGGCCACCCAACCCTAAAGGTACAAGGGGTGTAACTATTGATCTTGTTTTTGACAGCACAATGCCTGTTTGGGCAGCCTCTGCTCTCTACACGATATGGGGTTGGATCCCTTTGCAGATAAGAGATTAGTTGCACAAGCCATTGCTAGCACAAAGCGCTTCTCTGTATTTGCCACTTGCCTGCCTCTGGTGGCAATGTGGGCTCCTTCTGCAGCTTCGTGAGTAGGCGGGACACATGTCCTGACGTGAGGCCTGTCAAGGGCCAGAGAATAGGAACAAAATGGGAAATGGGACAAAGGCTGGCCAAGGATGGAGCGTCATTCAGCTCAGGACAAAAATGTGGACTCTGACATGTTTGACAGGGAGCCTATCCACATATGAAAGCGCACATATCGCATCAAGTAGCTACTGTACCCCTTGTGTCTCGGAGGCTAAGCCCGCGCCTACACTACCAGGAGTTCGAACGAAGTGGCCAGCAATGCAAGAAGGCTGCGTCCGGAAACCTGCCATCTCTGCGTTAATGAGAGGGTCAAGACACATCATTGGAATTGGAAGTCAGACAACGGCGGGATGTCACACCAACGCACAGCATTTGGTCTTGCATCAGCCTGTTACGTCAAGCTCCTCAGAGAGATCCATGTCGTCCACCACAGCATAACCCACAACTTCGTCTCGATGCTCTGCCAGCCAAGACCAAATGTGCTCGACTCTTCCTTGGCGGCCGCGACTCTTTTAGCAAACGCATGTTCTTTCTGAAGAAATTCCTACCTCCAAACTGTGATTGGACATGGTGTCATCACTGGAGTCATCGCAAGAAAACATGCTTTACGATGATCCAGCCGATGGCGGGGAGCGCGCCAAATGACACTGCTCCATCCCGCCGTCAAAAAGCACGGTTTCTGGAAGAAGACTAGGAGAGGATTTTTCTTGCCGTCAGAAACCGACGTTTGGAACTGAAAGAGAGCTCTGAGGACGAATTTTTGCTCGTTTTTTGTGTGGAATTAGATGGTGTAGCAAGATAGCTTTGGGCATGTAGAGAGACTTGTTTTGACTGCCGTCAAAAAGCGACGTTTGGCAGTCACCGAGCTGCTCGGCCGACAATTTTGGGGTGAGTTTTGGTGTAGAGCCCGCCCACGGTGCAGGGCGTGCTATTGGGGCTCTTGCCGTCGAGCTCTGCATTTTAGCAAAAACATCCTGTACATATAGCTCTGCTAGCGGGGGGTGCATTTTTTCGCGCGTGCGTGGCTATGGTCGAGCTGCAGGGCCACTGGGGAGAGCGTTTTGGATGTACCTTTTTGGATGATTTTTCGTTATGTCGTGCTTGCAGGGCCACTGGGGAGAGCGTTTTGGAGGAGTTTTTGTGTTTTGGGGTGGTTGTTGTGTTGATTCTTGCTCGGCTGCAGGGCCACTGGGGACGGCGTTTTGGAGGTGTATTTTTAGATGGCTTTTGGCAATGCCGAAGTTGTGTCACCATTATGGACCCCAAGGTGGACTAAGTTGGCCCCAAGATGGCTCCAACGCAGCCGTAAGACATGGCTGCACTTGTCTTTCCTTTGGAGCCAATATAGTTCGCAGCTCCCTCTTTCTTTTCGCATCTGACCCTCCTTCACATCCGACTTAGGAATCACAAACCTTCGTGCGCGGTGTGGGCGGCTGTCGACGCGAAGCGTCTTGAATTCGATGGTGGAAAGCACGGCTTCTGGAAGAGGACTAGAAGAAAGCACGGCTTCTGGAAGACGACTAGCAGATTGCCGGGAGCCTTGCGAGTGAGCCTCTGGAGCTCCATCCTGCCAGCAGAAAACACTTAGATGGTGGAAAGGCGTGGCGGGACAGATTGCCGGGAGCCTTGGGACTGAACCTCTGGAGCTCTATCCTGCCGTCAGAATGCACGGCTTCTGGAAGAGGCTAGAAGACTATTTTTTACTGCCGTCAGAAAGCGGCGTTTGGGATGCTCGGCCGACAACTTCGGGGTGAGTTTTGGTGTGGAATTCGGCAGATTGCCGGGAGCTTGGGAATGAGCCTCTAGAGCTGGATTCGGAGCCGGAGCCTTGGGAGTGAGTCTCTGGAGCTGGATTTGGAACGCCAGAGTCGCTTGTTTTGATTTCCGCTGCCGTCAGAAAGCGACGTTTGGCAGTCACCGAGTTCCTCTTCCACTTCAGCGTCCTGCGCCGACCTCTGCCTCCACACTCCTTCCCAGGGTCGGCGGCACGGGGCATAGCCCTTATCCGGCCAGGGGCCCGTCACCAGGCCCGGCTCTGGCCGTGGCTTTTCAGTTCTCTCCTCTCCGAAGGAGACCTCCGCCCCGTGTGTTTTACAGTGGATGCGGCGTGTGACGTGCAAAAAACATTGTGCTTTACAGGGCTTTGTGGGGGTGGTAGATCAAAAACTTTCGTGGTGGGAAAATGGTCACGAAATGCAAAAACCGTGTGTTTTCCAAGGGTGGGGTCGGTAACGCGCGCCGCGCGGACATGCATAATCGGCATTTTTTTGGTGATGGGCCCGTGTCAACATAAATTGCGCAAAATGTGCCCGAAGATGATCCAACAGAGGTCCCCAAGATGACCCCACATAGGCCCAAGATGGGCCGCCATACGCCCAAGATGGGCTCAACATAGGCCCAAACGGCCCACGTCGACGATGACGACGACGACGACGACAACAACGACAACCAGTGGTGGGCCCCTGGCCGGCTGCCGGGCGTCAGCCCTTAAATTATAGTTATATGTCACTAAGCTTTCACGTGACTCTTCACGTCTTCTGCAATGTTGAGATCAATCTTGAGGCATGTTGATTGCGTCTGGCTTCGCTTTCCAAACAAATTTCTGGTCCTGTCCTGCAGTGCTGTCCAGGATTCGGTCTGCTCCCTCACCCGGAGTGCATGAATAAACTGGTGGCAAGCCCCACTTTTGCAGCACCCAGTTCACTGCTTGCTTGCCTTCGAGGATTGGTACGAACCGAACCGAACCGCGGGTACGTCTTTCAAAAAAACTCCGCGGCACGTCGTGCGGACTGCCCGACTGCACAAAGATGCTGAAATCGCACATAGATGTTGTTGGTGAGACATTTTGAGAATGGGCAGGTCGGCCTCCCGGCAGAGACCGCCACGCACTGGAGAGAACCACCCTTGCACCGGAGCACACCAGGATCCGTGCAAGGCATTTCCTCAGCTACTGCGGGTAGATTTGGGATAAACATTGTAAATGTTCTCAAAGATGCTGACGAGAAAGAAACTTGTCCAATACTCTTTAAACACTGCCAATTAATTAGTCCGTCTTGAGTAAATGAACCAAACCAAAGTCTTCTTGCCGAGACCTGTATCGGCATGAAACATCATGAAACAAGCACTCTGCCACAGTTCAATGACTCATTGAGGGGATTAAGCGATGTGTGATTCCTTGGCGTTGCGGCATTGCTCTGGTGTTCCCCGAACAGAGCTATGACGATCATCACGGCCGAGCATCATCGCCCGCGGGCGGAACAGCCCATTCTCCCCTGTCGCCAGCTTCATCATGGCTGCTGAGTCCTTCGGGATCGTCGATCTTGGGAAAAGTTTCTTGGGCTGACAGACTGGCTTGACTTAGGTTGTAATTTTTTGTTTTCCCCTCTGAATGCCTTGCACACGAAGACGAAATGAATATGATCTGTGTGTTCAATATGAATGTAACAAGTTAGTGTTCAGCAAAGAATGCACGCTCCCTGAACAACTTGCGCTTCAATCGGTTTCAGGCTCATCTCCTCGGTGCCAAGGGCCTTCTGTAGTTGGATGCCACACATGGCCGGATGGAGAACTCCATCCACATCCAGGAACAACACTCGCACCTCCGCGCAATCTATGCTATTCTGTGAACGCAAGTTTAACAAATGCAACAAAATACCTCAATTTGCAAATACAACTTCAGGATTCATCCGTCTCGAACATCTACTGTATTTTTGATAGGCACATGACATGAAAATACACCCCCAAAAATGCAAACGGTGCCAACGGACCAGCAGTATCCAAATACTGAACTCAATTTTGGAACAGAATCAATAGGCATGACGAAGGACACCCAGTCTCACCCGGCCTTATGACCTTGTGGCATCCACACTGGGCTTTTGATCAAAGTGATCTCATCAGTCTGATGATTCTAAAAGCAACGTGCAGGAGGGTAAATCTATTTCACTGCCAATTTGAAGAAGAGCTTGAAAGTTATAAGCCTTTTTTGTCTGTTTGTCATTGTGCTCATATGCAAAGTTTAAATAAAGGCTGCTACTGCTGCGGCACAGTTGCCTGACCACCTCTGAAGCACACAAGTACCAGCCAAGCAAATGTCTTATATATATATATAGATATATATAGTTCAAGTTTCTTGTGTAACTTTGGAACACATGCATTAACTGGTCCAGTCTGACCCAAGTGGATCTGTTGATCCCATAGTCTCCTCGGGGGACTCTGCAACCGTCTTGAAGCTTGGACGAGCTGGCGGCTGTTTCGCCTTGGGAGGTGGATAGTGTTCGAGTCAGTGACGCGAGCCAGTGACGCCTGCCTGCACACGCTCCTCCAAATCCCCTAGCCGCCAAACCTAAGCCACACTCAGCAATGCGCTGCGGAATTCAGTCCCCAACGCTTGCATGCAGCAGCGCGCAATATCTCCTACCATGCCACACCGGAAGGATGGGATATAAAGCTCTGGACCAGCTTTTGTAAGAAGCCTTTCCAGAACAGGATGTCCTGGAAGCACCACAGCATGCGGCACCGAAAGCTGATGCCAATTCAGGGCAAAGCAAACATCTCTAAAGAACTGAGGTGAATCGAAAGAAGCATTTTTCAGCCGCAGTGCTGGACCATATTGCGCAAACCCTGCAGACTCATCTTCAGCTCACGTCTTCGGCTGTAATTGGTAGTTCGTCAGCGAATGAACTTGAACCGGTCAGCTTCTCAGTTGTGTAATGCGCGAGCTTATCCACCGTGGCACCCTTCGTCAAAGCACATTGTCATGGTCAGCTCGCAGTGATTGGCCTCAATCCTGCTTGGAATCTTAGAGCCACTGATAGGTGTGGTGGGGCTGGGGCACAAGAAACGCCACACGGACGACTGACACCAAAGCACCAGTAGTCTCTCACACACACACACACATCTCAACAACCCTGTCTCCTGGCTGGACTGCTCTTGCAACTACCTACAGCACACTGCATCAATCTGCATCACACACTTGAAGGGCTTAATATTTATATAATAGCACCTCTTGAACTTCTTGCCTCTTCGTAGCCTGCGAAGAGTTGGCCACACGCAGCATCAATGCCGTGGCCGAACGAGTTGCGGTAGGATGAGGTCACCCGATGCTCCCTGGCGAATTGAATTTACAACGTCCTATTGTATCCTATTGTACTTATTCTATTGCGTTCTGACAAATGTGTCCAATTCCAGTGAACAAACTGCTAACAGGGCGCTGCAGAATTCTCTGAAAATTCTCTGTACCTCCGGCAGCCGTCCACATGGAAATATACAGTATCTCTTCAACCCAGTGCAACTAGCAGAGCATAGCCATGAAAGAGCGTGCCTTTACAATTTTCAAAATGTCCAAACCAAGGATCTGTCATCGTCACTCTTTCACCAGTCATGCACACGAGCCTTCAATGCCTAAACGGTTGAAGTGCTCAGGAACAGCCCTTCCTAAGCCGCAGGAAAGCCACCACTTGTCCACCAAGCTTGGATCTCCAAGCTCCAAACCAACATTGTAAGGCAACAGATTCACGTGGTATAGGTACCTGCAACAGCAACCCTCCCGTGGATCTGAGTTCATGAGATTCTTCTTCTCATGTGCATTGAATTGGCGATTCTGTGTTTCGCGGGTTGAGACCCTCTGTCTGCTAGCTGTGTCAGGTAACACATGGCCACTCACATGGCCCACCTGGTCTCGACTGGGCGATCTCTGATCATTTGTGCCAGCGCACGAGCATGGTCAGCGGAATCATTGATTCCCTCGGTGAGGGAGATCCAAAAATGCAAATCTCAAGCAAAGCTGCCGAGGTTCCAGCGTCCAAAAGCAAATAGCAAATCCAAATACGTCTGCCAGTACTGCGGATATGTTGGTCAAGTGCATCAAACACCTGCACAAACGGTCTGCTTTAGCCAGTCATGCTGCCATGCCCGCTTTGAGAAACGCCCCTGACTGACAGTCACACTCTTCTGATATTGAATGCCAGGCTATGATCAGCAATGGCGGGCGGGTAGCTTGTGCTGCCAATATCAGGGTCCATTGAGTCCATTGTCTTTCTCGGTTTCTGAGTTATCAAAGAGCTACAAGCAAATTTCCTTCTTCTGCCTCTCCCATTGGGAACATCTTGTTCAATGGCCTCGTCAAAAAGCACTCTTTGCCACTGCCCCTACTTATTCATATAACTTTAAGCGTAAAAACACTGCATTTTTGCATGAAACGCATCCAAGATGCACAAGTTTGTTGCGTTCTTCTGTGAATGGTGAATGCAAGGAGAAGGCAAGGTTCACCTGTGGAAAGTCCTGCGCTCAGCAAAACATGCCGCCATCACACGCAGCGACTGGTAGGTCCGAGCAACCCAGCGGTGCTCCAGCGGCGGACTGTTTGACCAAAAGCGGGCGGCATCGTACTGTAGCTGTGTGGCAGTACAGCGCTAGCGTTACAGTGCAATCCTCTGTGAGCTTTCTGATGCCAGGTATGACCCCAACCGTGGAAATGTTCAGCCTGGCAAGGGCGCTCGCATGGCACCATGACACTCAAGCTGTGGCGACTGGGCCTCCGGTAGGACATGCCAAAGAGTTCCTTTGCATTGAGAATCCGAAGGGCATCGAATATCTTGGGGTTGCCAAGCGGCTCGCCTTGGGCAGTGCATGAGTGCAGGAAGACCTGCGGCCGTTTTTGGGACCGCTTGGGAGAGTCCTGAGCACCATGCCCATACCCATGAAAGAGACGCCATCTACCTGTTGGTGCTGGTCAAGCAGGTGTTGCACTGAACAGATCCCGAAACCAATGTTCTCATCAGTCCTTATCTGTTTCTTATCTTCATTTGGCTATGTATGTATGTATGTATGGTATGGTACGGTATGGTATGGTATGTAATGGTATGGTATGGCATGGTATGTAATGTAATGCAATGCAATGCAATGTAATGTAATGTATGTATGTATGTATGTGATATATGTGTGCGTGCTCTAGTGTGGCTTCACCCAGGCCTTGTGCCCTCTTTGGAGGAAATGCAACACCTCAGCTCAAGAGTATAGCAGTTCATGGCACTCATCTGGGGAACCATGCCTGGTCGGTAATCTCGTCCGCATCCAACTGTCTTTTCAGTCCAACTTTCCCAGTGGCGCAGAAAGCACACTGGAAAGCACATCCCACCTGATTGACAGCTTGACATGCAAAAGCTACCAGTACCCCAATTGCAAAGATCTCATTGCAGAGATTTCAAGAACTACCTCCTTCCCATCCTTTCGCCTGCGAGGAGATGCAAAGGGAACGGTGGGTGTGGAATTTCAATGAGACGGCTTCAACCTCGGCTGCAGTCTGCTTTTCGAACAGCGGACCTCATTGACAATAGCTTTCAGTGCATTGATGTGCATAAGGGCCTTGCACGCGCTTGATCTCGGTGTGAGTGCAGAAGAAGCTTTTCGGCATTGTCACCCTCACCAACCGCCTCAAATTGCCAAAGGACGATTCACAAGGTCTGCGAGGCCTGTCCGTGATGGTGCATCTGACATACGTGGGGGCACACCTCCGGGCGCCAGCTCGTGATGTACTTTCCAAATTGGTCCTTGAGACTTGCGTGGCGCGGGGCCCAAAAGGACCATCGGCTCGCGCTTGGTTCTCTACAACCGCCACACGCTCACTTAGTCATATGCCTATTGAGTCTCATTGATGCCTGTCAGGTGATGGTGTGCATCTTGGACCAGGCAGGACAAGGATTGAAAAGGAAGATCATGTTGAGGAATTGAATAGCCCGTCCTTCAATCGCCACCGCAAAGTCTTGGGCAGTCCGTCAATGGCATGCCATTTGACTTGGTAGGACTGGCGAAGCTGGAGGCTCTAAGATATAGCATGTTATACCAATATTGAAAGCAACTTGACACGCTCAAATTCAACGGCCGGCTTCTCTTCAGGGGTGCAGTCCATTTCCATTTTGTATCGTGCCTTGTAGATTCCCTTCAACACCTGCTCCCGCCGCCAGGAAGGCTCACCGAGAGATTGCAAGAACCTCAGCCAGCAAAGAGGGGACAGGCGGTGATAGGAAACTATCTCTTGCTTGCAGAAATGCCCGCAGCTGCCGTCGCTGCTATGACTTTGATCTTGAGGTTAGTTCGTCATGTGCCCGATGGCCTATAGCCTTTTTAGTCTTATCCCTCACACACTTATGTTGTGACCCGTGAAGAGCATCAGTCCCGTCAAGGCTTTTGCTTTAAGAGCTTGCTTGTCTTGCTGGCGCAGCAGTTGGATGGAACCCCTAACGAAGCCAAACATGTGGATCTGAACGCATGTATAATACGTTTGCATCCTTTCTGACATAGGACCCACCCTGAGCCCCATGCTCAGAGATCGCCCGGCACCTACACAACAGGGCTGGAATGAAGGTCAACTCATGCAGCCAGCAGCATTGGGATGCCTTGGGCTTACAGCCGCCATAGGCCGCACGGCACCATGCAGCCAGCTTCAGGGTCTTCAGGCTTCATTCAACCCCTTCAAGTGGTTTGGAGAAGCCGAAAAGAATCTGGAGGTGCGGTGTGTAAGTGTTGCCTTGAGCAAGCGCCTGCTTAAAGACCCTACGCGTGGTTTCGTGTGGGCTTCACAGAATAAGACCGTCAGTATGGATGTTGTGCTGACATAGAACTGAACAGTTTTGATGCTTGAAGTTTTGGACATTTGCAAGCATGCTGTCTGTATGCAAGACATGCTTAGCTCATGTTAAGTCATCTACTGTAATTACAGTAATTACAGTAATTTGTCACAATTTGTCCGTGTGTGTCAGTCGGGTGGTTCCTGACAAAGCAATCCATCTCGGCAAACGTTGTTGTCTGAGGAAAACACTGCAGGAAGGTTTTTGCACTTTGTAACAGCACATTCGAAACACGACAGCAACACACTCTTAGTGTCCGCCAGGCGCCATGCGGCGCCATGCGGCGCCATGCGGCGCCATGCGGCGGTGTTGTGGGAGGAGCAGACAATCTGGACATCAAACTGTTCAAGTTGGTCCTTGACTTGTCTGCATGATTGCGGAATACGCCACCTTGGCTCAACATGTTGGGCTTGGAATACGGCTCCGTGTCAGTCACAGATTTCCAGGGTCGCTGCAGCAGTGTCCTGTAAGAGAGCGCCTTGCGCAGGATCTCATCCTGCCTGGAATTGTGGAGATCCACACGTCCGCGGCAATCACAACCGCGTGCCGATGCACTGACAGCTGCGCTGCAAATCAACCTTCACCCAGGTAAGCCCTACAAAGAATGCGGCTCACAGGGCCCATGAAGATCCATGAGGGCCTGTTTCGTTGGTTTCGGCGCCGCAGGCCCTGAAGCCCTGCCCGATGCCACTGTACTTGCAATCAATCAGAAAGGCAACTGAGCTGAGACAAGGACTCCGTTCTGCTCTGCACCTGTCAGCGTGCCAGAAGACAAACAAACTGTGGAAAAAAGAAAAGCACTGACCAGGTGTGGTGCCAAAGGGGGGTTGAAAAGCACGGGCATCTTACATTCGCATGTCCAATGAGCACGAACTGCATTGAGTGTACAACAGTTTGGCTTATTTCATCTCACTCATGTCAGCATCGCATTGAGCCAACCCCCGTGGCCAGCACGCAAACAGGCGCCACGCCCAAAACAACCCTTTTTGGTCGGCTTGCTGCTTCAGCTCTTGGTTCGCTGCTGAAAAGCGCTTGGAAACAATTCGGCCAATGGGTGAGAAAGGCAACGTGTTAGTGACAAGCAGGCGCTAGATGCACAAACAAACATCCAAATAGCACTAGTCACTATTCCATGAAGGATGCTCATTTTGCTCAATGGTGCTTGTCTCTTGAAACCTGGCACTTCTCTGGCTGATCACAGCCCCCCTACAACTGCACTGCTGGCAGCAATCCTGCAAAGCCTTATTGTGAAGGAGTATGCACAGCAAAGGCAACAAAAGGAGTGTTTCAGTCACAAGCGCAGTTATTTAGCTGTGCAATGCATGAACAAGTTCAAGGCGGACGTGTGCACCCCACATTGGTCACTTGACATATACCAAACCTCTGGAGTGGATGGAACAGCACACATCCACAACTGCAGGAGAACTTACTCATGCGACTCTCAAGGCAGTCACTTTGAATATCCTCCAGTGGGCTTGTATTCAGGTGCTTCTGGATGGTACCTTAGTTCAGTGTTCAGCAAAACCAAGATTCTCTAGGCTCAAGGCTTCACGGGCGAGGCAACCTAAAAAAATACAACCATATGATGTGCAGTATGTAAACACAGCTGGTTTAGGTCCTAGTTTAGGTGAAAGCAAGCAATAAGAACGCAAAACACATCATATTAGCAGTGAATATCACGCATGCATTGGAGTTTCACGCTCAATCCTCAACGCCTCAGACGAGTAGCTTGCGAAACTCCGCGTTGAAGTACTTTCCTCAGATGCATCTCTTGCTGCGTGCTCAATACGAATTGCTTCCCCTAATGTTATGATGTACCTTACAGCCTAACTCTGAAATCTCAAGGATTCATTAAAAAAAGCAAAACAAAAGGCAAAACAACACTCACAAAGGATGACCAGGAAATGCAAAAGAAATGCATTAAAAAAACAAAAAAAAAGCAGCTGGTCAAAAAGAGTGCATATCAAAAAGCAAAACATGCAAAAGGAAGCCAGAAAAAAAAGCAAAAAACAAAAAGCAGAACAGCAGTTCAAAAAAAAAAACACAAAAAAAGCACCTGCACAACCAAATTTCACACACCACCTTTTCTGTGCGATTTTGTTTCGATGTTTGTGCGTTTTATGTGCGATTTTTTTCGCATTTTTTTTGCATTTTTTGTGCGTTTTTGGTGCATGTGTTTCTCAATTTTTTGCGTTTTCAACTAAACACAAAAAAAAGAAAAAACATCGCAAAAAAATACGCAAATACACAGCAAAAAAAAGCAAAGGCAAAGACCAGAACGTGTTTGATCGCAATTGGTTTGCTTTTTGATTGCATTTGTTTTGCATGGTTTGTGCATGTTTGTTGCATTTTTTGTACTTTCGTTTGCCTTTGTTTGCATTTTTTGTGCGGTTTTTGCATTTGTTTAGTGGACAAATGCATTTTTTTTTCGCAATTGTGTTGCGTTCTTTTTTTGGCATTCCAAGGCATCCTTTGGTGACTTGTTTTTGCGTTTTCTGTGCATTTTTTCCGGGATTAGTTTTGCATTATGTGTGCATCGTTTATGCATTTTCTATGTTTTGCTGTGTCATCAGAACTAGCTTTAGCGTACATCATAACCCTAATGCAGCGGAAGCGGCTTAGAAGGGTCTCATCAAGATCTGGCTCCTTTTCGAATGGAAGCCTGGCACTGACAAGTTCATCAACTGAAACTCTGCAAGAAGATCATCGAGCTAGGCTGACTGCTTGACTGCCTCTTTCACAGCGCCCCAACTGTCCAAAGTCTTTGCCGAGCTGCACTACCAACTCGGCGGATGTCGTCTCCAAGGACTTGTCGCGGATGTCCGCCAGCAATGGATGTGCAAGCGCCTGGAAGCCAGGAAAGAATTGACTTCTTTTGCATCAGACCATCCAACACTCATCCAACACACCCTGGATTGAATTATATGGAATAGCGCACTAGAAAAAGGACATCCACGGATTCATTGCAGCCAATCATTCTCCATGATAGATAGTATCGAGAAAAGGTCCCAAAAAAGAGTAAAAATCTGCCGCTAGCCCTGGATGACCCGCCAGCAGCCACTGCTCAACCAAAATGACCACAGCAAAATTGCCACCCACAATGCGCCTCTTGCACCGAAATGCGAGTCTTGGGGTTGAAGATCAGCCTGAGTACAAACTCAAACTAATGGTCCCCACCCCCAAGGTGTGGACACGTGTGTGTGGTACAATGGAATAGTTGTTATCAAACCTGGCGCAGGGGACCACACCTGAGTCATAGTTATTCTGAAACTCTGAATGTGAACTACATTGGAATAATTGTAGCAGATTTTCTATGTTTTGTAAATGCTTTCCTATTTAAACACAATAATAGTTGAACTTCCATCTTCGAAGGATATGGTCTGACCAATTTATGTTTATGTCATGCTACCTCTTGGATACTCTGCGACATGCTCGCTGATGAGAAACGGACAAAAAAGAGCAGAAAAGGTCAACCATCAACCCAACAAAAAACACAATATCCTTTTTCGCTCCGACTTGATTCGCTCAGGATTCTCTCTCCAGGGTAAGAGCTTGGAATGAGATCACATGTCTGCCTCTAGAAAATGGCCAAGATCCGTATGGGATCTCTCCTTAAGAACTTAAGCACTCTTCAAATCTCCTCCCTAGCTGCCGTTAGGTTGCATCTTCTCGAGGATGTCCAACATGCCGCTGTCAATATCCTTCAGCAGGGGAGGTTCCAACATGTATTCTGTATTTTTGTAACCTGGTCGTGACAGGTTGTGTTATGTTGTGTTTAGGGCAGGCTGCCCACGTGTGTTGGGCCCATACACCCTATATAAATTGGTTTTTGGTCGCGTTCTACCATGGTTGTAGCTTTCCTGACAGTTCTAGTGCGGGAAAGCATCTTTGAAGACCTTGTGCAAGCCTTCTCCCGTTTGTTTCGGAAAGCACGCAATGTATCCTCAGCTGGATCAGCGCAGGCGCTTCCAACAGTAGGGTGACTCCCAACTGCTTGTCTTGAACACTATATAATCTATATATGTCTGAAAACGAAACGCATGTCCTCATGAACTGATAACAGGCAAGTCGTATTTGTCAGGCATTCCGCTAGCTTTGCACGCACAAATCGGCTCGGAATGATCAATCAAAAGACAATGACGCGCACGGAGACATGGCTATGATAAAACACGAGCCTCGTAGTTTGGGGGAGTGTTTGCGAACTGCCCGTTGAAAACACTGTAGGTACGCTACACGCTAGCCGCTAGCGCATTGCATGACTGAAGAAAGGCTCCATGAAACACAGCACACACTGGCAGGAAGATCAAAGTGTCTGTTTGGGCAACTGAGCTGGACAGTCATGGAGGAAAGCAATCAAGGAGATGTGAACCACGGTGACCAACTGTGTATCATTCACGATCTGCATGGCTTATCAGCATGTCTGAAACCAAAGCCGCCAAGGTGCGCTTTGCATCTTCTCGCTCGACGCATGCATCGATGTCCTGGTCATCTTTGTGTACACGACGGCTCAATATGCAAATGGTCCCCAGTACATTGCTACATGAAGACAATTAGGATCACCAGCAACTGCATCACATGCGAGTCTTAAACAAAATGCGTTTCATGTCCAAACTCGAAAGAGCACATGGAAGTGCAACTCACTCACGTCCTTCTGCTCGGGTGTGCCCAGCAGGCCAAAGATTTTCTTGAGCATATCATGCTTACCGTTCGTATAGTATTTGTAGTCCTCAGTTGAAAGAACTCGCCATACAACTGCCGTGCGGCCAAGAAACACCCTCCCTTCATGCAGTCAGAAGGCCTGCTTATGCCTGTGGTCCGGAGAAAGTGGAAAGCACGACCTGAAGCAAACGGCAAACCATCCAAGGTCAAGAGTGGCAATCACTCCACTTGAAGTGCAAACAGCCCTGTGGTATCCTGCAGTGAGCTAAATACCCGGCGTTCCAGGGAAAAGAGGACCTCGATCCATGTAGCTCTTGCCCGCCGACGGGAGCATTCCAAGAAGCTCAGCGTAGATGCAACCTGGCTCTGAGCGCTGGTCTTATCGAGCGCAAGCGAAGGAAAAAGGACAGGTCCTAACGTCAGATCCCAGAATCAGCCATGTCACTGACTGGGAGGGTTCCTTTTGTTCCTTCGCTGGCCCACTTGCTAGTGCATTCTTTGACAAGTTGAGTCCTGTGTTGCTCAAAAGGCCTGGGGCAACAAATAAATCGGGATGGTGCCTTGACCCAACGCACCGCCGCCCAGCCTACAGACCAAACATCAATAGCCTGCGTGTAGTTGTCCTTGCGGCTCCGTGAGAATCAAATAGGAAATGCTGAGGTCAAAAGGACCTTGGATACCCTCACCTGGCAGTTATCAAATCATAGTGTATGTTTGGTGGCTGCTCAGTTGTCAAGATAGCTGCGGGCAACACCACCCAACATCACCCAAACCTGAGTCCTGGAGCAGAATGAGCTCGGGTGCACGATACCACCGAGTCACAACATGCCTCAATATCTGGCACGTCAGGGCACTTCTATTGTCGGTACCGAGTCGGTACCCCACAATACACGGCCATCCTGAGCAGCGAGCCCTGTCAAGTTCTTTGCCGCCCTCTTTGTATGAGGCACTTGGGGAAGAGGTGCCTGTCAGTGCACACACACACACAAACATTACAGGCATCATTTGTGGAGCTGCATGTTGTTTGCAGGAAATGCTTACTGTGGGTGCAGCCAAGGTTCATGAGCCTCTCCTTGTCGAGGTGTGTGGGGCAAGTGACGCAAATGCTTCTGTTCACCTGGAAAAGCGGCTTAAGCAGCTTGAAGCTTGAATCTAAGCAATGCCGTTTTTTGTGCCCGTTCTCCATTCTCTGTATGCTACATTATGCTACCACGTTATCCAACCCACACGTAGCTGCATGAGTCACAGGGTACCCGAACTAACAACACCCATGCTAAAGCAAGCTAAGTAAACTGTCGCTCCATGCTCCAATGGAAGCCTCCAATGGCACGGGAAAGCCCAAAGTCCCCAATCTTCACAGTGCAGTCCTCGTGCTTCCGCATTCGGAAACCCTCCCTATTCATTTCGTCAGAATGTGTAAAGGTAAAACTTGCAGGCGCAGTGCCTCATCAGAAGCTGCTGTTCCCTACGTGTGCTGTCACAATGAGACACAAATGGCCCGGCACGTTGTCGCGTGCCATCTCTGGTGCTCCTGGTTGACAAAGCAGTTTGCCGGCTTGAGGTCACGGTGGTAAATGCCGGCAGAATGAATGTAATTAAGGCCTCGGGAGAAATGTGTGTGTGTGTGTGTTGAATCGCAATGGACTTCAATCAAAGACTTGGATGGTTCTGCGTTTGTGGGTGCTGGGCTTAAAAGGCAATAATGGTGATAATGCAAGCACCTGCCCTCCAACCCAAAGCCATGTGGCCAACTAGCAAATTGTACAGCAATGTGTTCACCTAAGACGCGCAGGGATGCTCCGGTCAATGTCAATCCAAAAGGCTTTCAAGTTGACCGTCACTGTAGGCTGTTGAGAGATTCTATTCTCGCATGCTTTCCATTCCTTGCCAAGTCTCGTGAATAGGGCTGAGGGTGACATCCTGCCTGCAGGAAATTGTGACTCCAGCGCAAAGGCTCCCCATAAAACAACAAGACATTCATTAGTATTGTTTGTTGCCAAGGCCGCTCTTGCCTGCACAGCTTCTTAAGATCAGAGTCGCAAAGCTCCATAATCATGTAGATTTCCGTGAAGTTTGCCATATCGCCTGGAAAAAGTGGAAAGGAACTCGATTTCAATCCAGCCCCAACGATGGCCCGCCTGGAATGAAAAAGTCCAGCACTTGGACGACATTCCTCGGCTTTGCAAATGCCAACGCTGTCCATCCTAAAGGTTTCACTACCGGGCACGCCCCACATATTGAATGGATTTGCAGCAGGAATCTGGCTAGCATAAGACCCAAACCGGAAGTGTTGCCATACTTCCAAACTGTAATTTGTTTATTACTATAAACAACTCTCCCCGCTGGACTTGCTGGATTGTGAACAAGGCTCCTGTGACTCAGCTTTGATAGAATGCTCACCTGCGTGCGCGGGGCCGGCTATGCTGGACCTCCAGAAACCCACTCCAAACTCCAAAGTTCAAGTTGCAGTTGGGGTGTGTTAATCGTGATTTTGGGAGCTTATATGTGACACATTGTCACATTGTGACACTATTCGTACCTGGCACATGGAAAGAGGTCTGTCAGATGACCGTGCCCCTTCAGAGTTCGAAGCTGTGCTCGAATGTTTGCGAGTCACAAGTCAGGGATGAATTGTTCAGAGTTGTCTTCCGTGATACCTACGCCGCCTGCTTATTTTTGAAGCGTGTGAAACTATCCTGAAGATCTGGCGGGCCATGTAGTTGTCATGTCTATGTGTCGTACCTATGTTATAGTCTCTTGCGATTGTGACCTTCTTGGAATGATTTTCGCTCTGCCCTACTGTGTAAAGGAACTGTCAAGGAAATTCAATAAGCAAATGTCCATAGTAAAGCGCTGTGCTCGTTCCAGCTTAAGCTTCCACCACTCATACAGCCCAAACGGAACTGGAACGCGCACGCAAGCCAGATGCCTCTCGCAAGATTCGCTTGCAATCAACGAGGTCCTCAAAAATCCTCTTGCACTTCTTGATTGCGACCACTTGCCTGCAAGCGTGCGCCGAAAGGCATCGCAAACACTCAAGCTTCTCAAGTGTTCTCCTAGAACATTTTTGAGAGCCTTTCTGTGAATTAAGTTCAGCAATGCTCCAATCGCCTCTCGCCCTTGTGGTCATCGACAGCTTCGCAAACACTGCCGTAGGATCCCGAGCCAATCAGTTCAGTGACCTGCGACATTTGACATGCTCCGCTAGGGATCCTTGTGGTCAGGACTTCAGCTGTCAAATGACGCTAGGTGCCTTGTACCGGGAAGGAAGCTGCCAGCTTTCACCTGGATGCCTGCCCGCTGATCACTGAATCACACTGCAAAAGAGTCATTGAAAGGGAAGCTGAGCTAACTGATTTATTCATATTTATGCAGCTGGCATAACCCCAAAAGCTGAAGGACACTTCCGCACGTGCCTCGGAAGGGATGGCATTGGCCTCGGGCACCGAACATCCAAATAAGAAATGTGGTTATGTTATGCTCATATGTGGAGTTTAAGGCACTGGCACTGTCGCGGAAGCGCGCTACCACAGCTCAAAAGTGTCAACGAAAAACAGCCCACTGTACTTCAGTGCTGGAGCCCAGTCCACAAATCCAAAGCAAACATGAGGTGTGGACTCACTCACTCTCTCTCTCTCTCTCTTTCGAGGCAAGCTCACGTTCTGTCTTCAAGCATCTACCTCCTTATGTCGGTAAGCACTGAGAACAGAATGGTACATCACCCAACTCATGGAGGCCTGGCTAGCAAACGGAAATGTCTGGACTTGCGCATGCTCAAGCATCAGGCTTTGGCGAAGTGAGAATTGCTGGCGTCGTGGCTAGATTCTAGATGGCATGGCAAGTTACTCGGTCTGCAGAATCCCCGCCCTTATATATTACACCGTATTGCGAACGAGAAACCGCAACCTGAGGACTTTGTCGCTGTCTTGGATGCATTTGATTCTATTGGATTGCCTTCGGGACTACCGCGGGGTGAGCAAGGCTTGATTCCTTTGCTTCGCACTACCGTACCCTATGCTTTTGAACTGAGCTTGGGTTCCATCATGGCCACGGCGAGCGGCTAACAGGCATGCATGCGCAAACTGTGCAAACATGCGGAAAGAAATGAAGCCAGTGAGACTCACCCGAGACCAAAATCTTAGCGCAAGTTGTCAAGCCAATTGAGTTGGCTGGCCGCCTTTTGCTCTCTACACCACCTGCAGCCTTGGCGGCAATTCTGAGCACGTTTGTTCGTTCCGTCTTGGAGTTTGTCAGTTCCATTGTCTAGACCCTGCAATGTGGATGATCGCTGCGCATGGTTTCTATTCATCCTGAGGACTTCTGTTTCACCCAAACACTCAGCTTGCTGCGAGATGGCCCGCCAAGCGGCCTAGTGATGACTACAGTAGTGGTCCCATTTGCCCAGAAGCCTCTGGCAGAGTGAGGAGTGTGGACCCAGTGCGCTCGAATGGTCAAAGATTGGCTGCTGGAAGAACAGTTGGAAATAAGTAGTTCGCCACAGGTGGGCGGAGGCAAAGCAATATCTTCCCTTTAGTGCCAGGGTTGATGCGACCAAGGGCCTCAGCCTGAACACTTGCTTCGCAGGAACGGCCGAGCCCCGGTGGCAATCTCGTGCAGTCATGCAGAAAGCGTGCATACTGCTAATTATATGCCAATGCCCTCGTAGCCCCATTAACCTCTTGTGAGTTGGTGCCATTCTTTGCCGAGCACCGTGTCTTGAAACAAAACAAACCGAGAAAACCACCAAAAAGGATGTCAAAATGCGTCCAAATGCCTGGATCCGCAGTTGAGAGCTGTCGATTGAACAATCCGCTGCTTAGCTGAGCAGAAAACGATTCTTCAACGCCACACTCACTGGTCCATTCGAAACAAATTCCCCAGAAACTCGGAGCCTCGGCGGAAGTGCTGTCATCTTGCAGGCTGAGAAAGGTCGGGCCACTTTCTTATGCGCCTCTAAAATTAACGATATATGTTCAAAAATGCGATGTAATTACGTAGAACGATATCAAGTATACTAATGTGTGGATGAGGGATTAGGGATTGTGCATGCGATGAGACGCAAAGTTTCCCCAACCCTTCACCCACCAAAGCATGGGGGACCACCGCACCGGGTTACCAGTGGGCCCAGAGCTGAGGTTGACACAGCTGATGGTACCGATGGTGCCAGCGCTCGAGAAGGAGTTGAGAAAATCTTTGGCAGGTGTCGTCTGAAGGCTTGGATCCAGCTCTTGCAGAAAACTCGCCAGTTGATCTGGGGTGAACTGACCTTGAGGAAGCAGCTTACCTCAGGTTCGCGAGCCACAAAGACTCGGAACTCATGATACAACGATTTCTCACCCAATTGGCCCTTTGCATGCCCCTCCCACAAAGAGCAAACCTCATTGCCCTCATCCAAGACTCGGAAAATGTCAATGATCGGCTGCGGCACTGCCTTCATATCAAGCTTCTGAACTTCTTCCTCAGCACGTTTGCCGGAGCACACTGAGAGCATGTGGACTTCGATGGGAACATCCCTTTGCAGCTTGGCTGCAGCGATCGTCGTGGCAGCCGCCCGCACCAAGCAATGAAGCAAATCCAGCTCGGCCGGCTCACAGCCGAACACCGCTGCTACCTGAAGCAGGCGAATGGATCGACGCAGAGGCTGTGTGTGTTTGATCAGAACAACGCGCCTGACTTCTGCTTTCATCCACCTGGTTGCAAAAGCTGGAAGGCCAGCACCACGCAATGCGGCGAAACGCCTGCAAAAACTCTGGACTTGAAAACCAAGCTTAGAACAGAGTCCAACAACATGCAAGAACAATGCAACAGGGTTGCACCAGTCCTCCTGCAGCCCCAGTTTGAATCCCAAAGCATGCACTTGAAACTCCTCCTGAAAGTTCACCTACATGCAAACACAATTTGTTTTCTGATTGGAGGCCATGTCTCTTAGGTTGGAGGCCATCGCTTTGTTTTCTGCTTGATCACGGGCAAATGTTCTACAGGATTCCAGGATGATCCAGGCCTCTATTGCAGCGTGCACTCGACGAAAAGAGGAACTACTTTCCCAGCCAGCTTCGCTGTCCCAGAGCGCGTGGAGCAAGTCCCTCAAGGAGCCCAGGTACTTTGCCAGGCCTGCATCTGATATTCCACGAACCTCAAGACTAGCAACATGCCCAAAATCAAGACATGGCAACCAGCTGTGAACAAAATTGCGTCTGCACGCATCTGTGGATCAAACCTGGTCTGAGTCTGCATAGTAATCTTGGTCCAGGCAGCTGCTTGATCAATGCCAATGACCCGCAGTCCTTCTTCAGGAAAATCCACCATCAAATTCCTTATGGCGCCCAATGAATGCTAAGCAGCTAGCAGCAGCTAGCGGGGCGGCAAATCATGGAGTGCAGTCTGCCAAGCATCTTGAGGTTGCCATCGTTGGCCCATATCAGGGGCAAACGATCCAGGTTGTTGATTAGGCAATCAAACCTTGAACACCAGCTTAACACTTAAGAGACAATATTGAGAAGAAACGGCGGAACAAAAAAGGAAGAGAGCGGTTAAGCTGCGATAGGGATGGTTGAAACTTTCCAAATGTCCATTAGTCAGTATATGTCAGTATAGTTGCTCGGCAAAATGGAAGTTCAAAGCCTCTTTAAAGGTCCAGCCCGTTTAACTGATTCGATACGTCCAACACCCTGACACCGCCATGCAAAATGCAACAGTGAGACCGAAAAATTCAGCGCGGACAGGATGCGCAGCGAGCTGGCCAGCTCCCACCCAAAAGCGCTTCAGGCGGTCATCTGAGCAACCACGAAAGTGCTTCGTGAAGTCCTGCATCAAAAGCACTTTGAATAGAGCATACCGCCTTGTCATCCACATAACTCACATAACTAACTAGATCAATGGGACAATGTGACTAATACTGCCCATGATGTCCATCAAACATTGATTTACTTAATTTTACAACCAATGGCTGGGGCGCCACGTTGGCCTCGCCCTCCATGATAGGGCCCTGCACGAACTCAACAAGTCCCAAGTATTTGGCGTCCGCCAGGATCTTCTTTTCCTCACATTGGGTCGTTGACGTCGTCATGACCCGATGGGGATCCCATGAACCAAATCGAGATCTCGGTGGCCCAACAAAGGTAGGCTAAACATTTAATGGATAAAATGAAGTAAAGAAACCAAACAACAAACAAGCAAAACAAAAAAAGATGACGCATGTTGTGGTTTTCTTGTTTTATTGTAGGTTGTTGGTTTTTCTTTTCTGCTCATTCGGGTTTGGTAGGCTAAACCTTTAATGGATGCTGGTGCCCAACCCCGTGCATTTTGTGGATTCTGATGATTCTTGACAGTGGTGCTAGTGCTAAGCCCAAGTCCACATGCAGTTGGTGATCACTGATTTCAAGCTTCGCATTGCCTCAGCACTGTGCTGGAGTGCCAAAATGGCGAGACTAAAATGAACTAGACGGATGGCTGCACCAAGTAAGTCAGTAGCTACCACACATGCACATATCTTGCTTCTAAGGTGCGCAAGCAGGACATGATCTGCTCAGTCATGGGAAGAACGCGCAAACGCGCAGTTGGAATTCCCAACGCATCAGCCAGAAAGCTGGCAAACCTCTACAACATCCAGCGCAAAGCTTGGATAGCTTTCGTAGGTATGTACACGTATACAGATAGATAGAAATGTTGTCTGCATCCATTGTCTTATATCTGCAAAATGCTTGAAACCTGTCATTGCCCTTTCCACCATCTGACCCCTTTCTCCCTGCATGTGGACTGTATACACGGATTTATACGTATCTTCATTTCAGTCAAGGCACAATTCTCCTCTGGCTTCAAGGCGCTGTGGCTTGACACACAGAAGTCGGCCGGTGGCAAAACGGACCAGCAGCACACCGCCGCTGCCTGCAGCGGCCGAACAGCCATCCCTTCCAACAAAGGGAACACGGGGAACCACTCAGAAACCGGATCTTCGAATGGATGTCTTCATGTTGCCTGCTGTTCCGAGCTTGGATTCCGATGGCCTCCGCCCACATGCACGACCGAGTCCACAGCACTCCAATCCACCGTGTCAATGCTACAGCTCTCTCCGGAATCTCGCCACCTCAGCGACAATCGGGCTTCAGGCCAAGGAATTTGGTGCTCTACCGTACTTTGGAGGTGTTGCAATTGCAAAAGCGTCCACAATATCGGGGCTTATATAACAACAATATATAACAATATGTTACAAAAAAAGCTCATCCGGGCCAAGGAGAGTTCTTTCGCCGAGGGGCTGTTGAACCACTGAAAAGGACAAAAGCCGTTCAACTCGGGCTTGTGCCTGGTGGCTTGAAGGAGATGCTGAATAGGCAGGCAGTCGGGTATGTTACAGTGGCGTCAGTTCGGGGTGAGTGGACCAAACTGATTCTTGGGCGCCACGGGGTGCCAGGCAAAGTGGAGGGCAGTGTTTGCGGATGCGAATGTGCGCTGAAAACAGAACTACCAAGTTCTGGATGAAATATGTTACCCATGCCACCTACATAAGCATTTTGTGCACGGTCCATAACGTGGGAGGGAAAGAAGTGTGAAAAGCCTGCTTGGAGAGGTTCCATACGGACTCCATCAAAAGAACTTGTGCAAAACGACTGGCCCATAGATCTTGCAAGATTGACCATGCAGGACGCCATCACACCCGCCTTCTGCCTCTCGGACCACTTGACCTGCGGATGTCCAGAAATGAAGAAGCGATGCACTTGTTCCTAGTAGCTTCTTGTTACTACTAGTAAGCGACTTGTTACTAGAAGCGATGCACTTATGTCCAGAAATTTCTTTGCACTGGAATTTGTGGTTCCAACCTGTCGCCCAATCTTTCGGAGCATGAACCTAATGTTGAGTTCCTAATAGTAAATGGCCCGTGAATAGTACTAAATCTTTTCAAAAATCAATTGTAAACCAGACCTTGATTCATCCAAGCTGATTCTGAGCTTTCAGCTGATTCCAAAACCTGATTATGTTGTGGTTTCCTTTACTCTGGAATTTTGATTTGGCTGCTGCATGTTTCTTTTAAATTTGCTTATTTGGGCATTGCAATTTGCAACCTGAAATCAACCCACAAAGACCACCCCCCACAAGCAGCTCAAACCTTCAATTACTCAAGACCTCAAATAGTACTAAACACTTTTTGGCTGGTTCTTTTGGCGGTTTCCTTTACAAGTCCTTTAGGTTTCCTTTTGGTTGAAAAGCTTTAGCTTTATTGAAGGGCATCCTTTCTGGATTTCTGATTTGGCTGCTGCATGTTCCTTTAAAAAATGCTTATTTGGGCATTGCAATTTCCAACCTGAAATCAACCCACAAAGACCACCCCCACAAGCAGCCCAAACCTTCAATTACTCAAGACCTCAAATAGTACTAAACACTTTTTGGCTGGTTCTTTTTGTGGTTTCCTTTACAAGTCCTTTAGGTTTCCTTTCCTTTCATTGTCCTTTCAAAATCCTTTCCTTTCCTTTCATGTCTTTTCCTTTCCTTTCATTGTCCTTTCAATTTCCTTTCATTGTCCTTTGAATTTCCTTTCCTTTCCTTTCATTGTCCTTTCAATTTCCTTTCATTGTCCTTTGAATTTCCTTTCCTTTCCTTTCATTGTCCTTTCATTGTCCTTTCCATGTCCTTTCCTTTCCTTTCATTTCTTGTCCTTTCCTTCAATCTCCTTTCCTTTCCTTTCATGTCTAATTCAAATCAAGATTTTCTAGGATTTTTTCTGGAAATCACATTATTTGGGGCCCACACTTGATCAAGGGGGGGGTTATTAATAAGAGGCCCACATTACATGTGCCCACCTGTCACTAAAGCCTAGGTTCAAGACATTAACTTTAGGATAATCTTAGGATAATACGACTACGGTACGTGCACGTTTCATATTTTGGATATCAGGCCTGTGTCTTGGCCTTGGCCTTCGGGGGTGGAGGGCCCGGACCGCTAGCTTTGGGCATGGCAGGCGAGATCCATGGCGTCTCAATGTGTCTCACATTCGCAAAGCTGATGTCGCAAAACTGCTGTACCAAGGCACCGGTGCTTGGAGATTTGAGTTCTGATCCTACCGGATTTTGCACATGACATGAATTGATATTCCACCATTGATTAGATTAGAGGTTCCCATGGGTGGTATTCAACAGTGGTTGTCTGCATGCGGCTATCTCGTGAACACCATGCCTGACAGCCCTTCAGAACGGCAGGTGCACGACAAACCCAACATGCGACAATTGCATACAATTGCTGTGAACGCAATTGAGCCACAAAAAACAGGTAACCTCCAGCAGTGCCTCAATCAAGGGAAGCTCCGCGTCAAAGCTACCTGCCACGCAGGGAATTGGCAACAAAATGTCCGGTCATTGTTGGCAAGTCTGGGATACAATGACGCACACTACCCTCAATTCGCCACGCGGTTTTTCGTCTAGCAGTGCCGGTGGACAGGGTGAACTCAATTCATCCACCCTGGAGTCTCACACCTTCGGTGGTTGGACAAATTCAAATTTGGCCCAAAAGAAGCCACGATACGCGTGGGCTGTGTTCTCAAAGCCTGAAGGCTGCCGCCAAAGGGCGTCGCAACAACGATTTCAAGCGTGTGAACACAGGTATGGCCAAATGTGAAACCTCAGCCACTCGGAGCGCAACCGCCCAGGCTTGTGATGATCACTTCTTGCTGAGGATTGCCAAGGCTTTCTCTCCCATCAGATCTCCCATCTTCTTCGCCTTTTGATGAGTTTGATGAATCACTCTGGTGGACGCCAATTTTTTCCACCGCGCACAACTCAAACTCACCCACTCCCACGTTCCCTCAAGTCGCACGAGCAAAACAATAATCATGCAAACACTATATACACTGTATAACTGTATAACTGTGGAGTCCTTTAAAGGCATGGTGGCGCACTGACAAAAAATGTAACACAAACACAAATTAACCGTAATTATTGCTACCAACCACCAACTCGGACGCGTCCGTGCCAGCCTCCGCCTTGTCTTCTTCGGAGATGTCATCCCAGTTGGCATTTGGGGTGTCATCCTTGCAATAGGCTGCAAGGCATCTTGAGATCCCGACACAAGAGCAATTGAATTCACCGACAATCCACTTCTCGTCTTCCGGCGCGGTGCCCGGTGGTGAGGCATTGATGAAATCCGTGGTCCACCACAACGGCAACGGTTCTTCTGCCAAATCCAAGGATGGCATAACATGAGGCAAGTCCTTCTTCAAGAAATTTTCCTGACAACAGCACATATCAAGGAAACACTGCAGTTGACAAAGCCCCAATGAAAAAGCACTGGCTGCACCATACGAGCACCAGGGGACCTAGGGCCACAACACACACCCAAAACATGACCGAAACAGCACCTAAACACGACTGAGACACCACCTAAACATGACACGGCCAAAACATGAGCGAAACACCAGCCAAACATGACCGAGACACCACCTAAACATGACCGGGACACCAGCGAAATATGAACCGAGACAATCGCCTAAACAGGACCAGACCGAACACAACCAACACATCACCTAAACATGACCGAGACGCCGCCAAAACATGACCAAGACACCAGCCCAAAATGACCGAGACACCACATGGGTGGGGTATTGAAAAAAAAACATGTCTTGTGCAATACCTCGAAGAATAATGTTATCGGTTATCGTTGTTTTACTCTTATCGTTTTCTCATGTTTTCTCAGGTGTTGGGCTCTGTGCACTAAGAAGTCTGAATTTTTGAGTTTTCTGTGGGTGTGAAAGCATCCTTGGTCGAAAGTGGACAGATGTCATCTGTTCGCATTTGTTTCCTTTCATGTTCCTTTCATTTTGCATCAATTTCCTTCACAGGGCGATATGCTCAAACCGGTCATGTGAGTATCCTCCCAAGCGCTCTCATTTTTGTCATATTTTGTTATCGTCTTTGTTATCGATTGTTGTCATTTTGGAGGCCTGTGCAGGTTGCCATCTTCAGGGTTCATGAACATGTACATGTATAAGCTCATTATCATTTTTGTTAACTCTTATTGGTTTCTGGGCCAGCAATGCATTCGTAGTGTTAAGGTGCAGGGCGATTCTAAACAGCTGAGCGCACAGCTATTTCATCAGCCCATGTTTAAGTGACCGACACACTGACCTGGGACACCACAGCAAGGCGCCCGTCCGCCTAAAGAGTGCACAACCCCTATGTGATTCGAGTGTAGGTGGTGTCACTCGCTATCTAGGGAATACGTACAAGTAGAGATGAGTGCACCTGCAGGAAACATAGTGCGACAACAGATGGGGATCTCAACAGGGGAAGTGTAGGTGTGCAAAGGGAGATCGTATGGGCCTCGAAGCCTCTGTGGTCAACCACGCCTGAAAGCATCAAACTCTGATTCGCGTCTGGCCTCGGAACCTCCAAGCCTCATGAAAGCCTCCGCTGTTAACAACGCCTCGAACCCTTAAAGCCTCGAAGCCTCTATATAATGCTCAGAAGCTTTGCAGCTTAGCGACTTCATGTTCGAGCGCTTCGATGAGGCAATGGAAATCTCTGGTTGTATATATTTGGGATTGTGTTTGCCTATGTGCGTGTCCATGCCTCGTTGCTCTTTTGACCCAAGCCCGGGCGCATACACGTATTCATAGCATGAGCACTGATCCAGCATCAGAACAACTCAGCTGTTTTCCTGCACATTCTATTAGCACACAGTTAAGACTGGCATTGGATCCATTTTCCACTAGGCGCTCTGAGGTCAAGTAGTACTGCAGTATGGCTAGGCGCATACTGAAGAAGAGCAAGTACATCCGTGAGAACCAGCGGCATGTTGCGAAGTCCGCTGAAGGCCGAGAAGTTGGTAGATGTGGGGTATACCTGGGCATGATCAAAAAGAAGTTGATGAACCTTGCGTTATGTGAAGGTTAGGGCCCTCCGCGCGCAGGCTCTGTCACGCCTCTGTGTCGCTGGTGCGCGGGCCCATGTTGACCTCTTTCACGCGCAGAGCCAAGAATACCTAAAATCCATTGTGTTGAGGATGCATGCCCCCGTCAAGGAGAAATCAAGGACGCATGGCGGTTTCCAATCTTCGCTGACCACGACCTTATTTCACTGTCGCAGCACACCAGGCGGCGCCTGAAGGTTTGAAGTGGCTCTTTCATGGCCTCATGACTCAATGGCCTTGTTGCAAGGCTTTGGTCTTGCATGGGGCTGCCGGCGTCACACTTATTGCTTTTTGTTTTTGCCTTTCACTGACCACCCATTGAACATTACAAGTCGCCAGTTGTGGCTTCATTCTGTTCACGTGCTTCAAACCTGCTGTTCGCAAAAAAGTCAGCACTGTATAGGCTTCCAAAGCTGTACCTTATATAGTTTCATGATGTTTCACGGCTTCGAGATCCTTCGATGCACTTCACGGAAAGCCTGTTCTTGTTGCACAGGGCGCACCTGCCGATGTTTCCCTGTGCAGCAAAGTGTTACATAGATGTTGCAGATGGTGTGTCCAACTTGTTACAAAGCAGGGGCTGTGAGGCATTTCCCTTGTTGTGTTGAAAGCGCTACAGGCTACAGCCTACAGCTTGCTCTGGTGTGCAGAAAGCCCACCAATAATCTTCTAAATTGGTCCACCCGTCCAAAAAACATGCAAACCACTAGAGTCACTAGAGTCCATGATTGGCAGCTTGCTCGGTGGCCACATTGCCCCCACCCCTGCAAAAAGGGATGGCGCACTACAATTTGAAAGAATGGATGTGTGGCGCTTTGTTCTGGCGGCCAGTTCTTGCTCTATCCAAGAATATTCAAGGACACAGTCAGTCACACCCACCGGATCGCACCGGTTTACTGTGTTGCTTAAATCCACCTTGGGGCCTGAAGCCAATCTTCTGTAAGTTCAACGAACAGCGAGATGTGACATCTAAAATGCCGCCGCTACCATTGACATGGATGAACGCAATCAATGCCAGGTAATGCAGCTGGCTGGCCCTTCCACGTCACTGCGATTCAGTACCGGCTGACGTGGCGGCGGTCATGCTGGAGCCACTGCTGGAGCCATTGGGGTGTTCAGTGACTATAGGCTAAAGGGATCAGTCTCACTTCTGGCGATCCGATCCTCAACCTCAAGCTAATTATCTCAAACCAATCAGATATTGAAAGCCTGCTCAGCCCTTGACAAAGTATGGGACACCACAGACGAAAACAAACAGCCAAACCATTGCTACCCGTGCACCTTTAGTAGAGGCAAAATCAAGTGCATTGCACTTTGATAAAGGGGAGTATTGGCAAATTCACTTGCTCAATGTCAATACAGAGGAGCAAAAATATGTACAAAAGAATAAGACAGCTGCATCACACACATTCAGGATGGTTCCCGCACCACCTGAACATGAGAAGTTTCAATTCAAAAACCGGAGTCTGCAACAAAAAAAAGGGAACAAATTATGACAAATCGTGATCTTGAAGCGAGCTTCGGTCAAGCTCTTGAAGAGCGGCTCATCAGGGCCGTAGAAGGTGTAGATGGAACCCGTTCCGCCGACGGCGGAAATGCCACCCTCCTTGGGCTTCTTGTGAATAACACCGATCAAGGAATCTCCGATGAGATTGTAGCGCAGCTCACCCTCAACAATTCGAGGGCAAAAGCGCTGATCCACAAGCTGGCCCCCGGCTTCTTTGCCGCCTTCCAAATACTTGCCCACTCCTGCATCTGAAACTCAATGAACAAGCCCCAACAAATGTATGCGACTGTTGTCTTTTTCGTCGGCGTCTGTTTGTCTTTGTTTTGTGCATCCACGACCGATCCACCGCGATCTGCCCGCCTTTGGATGTCCATTCGCCTGACTTCTCGGTGCGCCCCGCCACGCAGAATTCGATAAATTCCGCGACGGTGTGCTCTTCCTCGTGGTTGTCGTTCGCTTCCATGAGCAGGAGCTTTTCGGAATCCTCGCAAGACCTCTCACCATACTCCTTGCAATAGTTCTCCTCACCCGGACTAAAACCATCCCGGGGATGGTCCCAATGTTCGGAAACCAAGCATTGAGAATTTCACAAACGAAAGTGGATGACCCGAAATCAATCCAAGAGTGGACATGTTTTGAAAAGTATTGCCCGGGTTGCGCCTCCTTCAATTTGATGATCCAGATGCCTGACAGGTCAATCAGAGTTGTTGGCAGGAAATGCGCCGAAAATGCATGACAAGTTTGTCAAGGAGGAAAGCACCGTCTCCTAAGCACTCTTGGACAAATCATTCCTGGACAGATTGATATTATTGAGCCAGCAGCAGTGGAACAATTATATAAATTGTGGAAATCTTGTTGAAAGGTTCGGTATCCTTCAGGCTGGTTGTGCTCTCTGTCATTGTGGTTGAAAACTTGTTGCTACTCATGTTGATCATGCTGGACAGTTTCTAACTTGAACCTTTTCCGGAGACGGTATGTCTATCGGAAGTCTATCGTGGACACACCATACTTGCGAAAGCCAAGCTTGTGCTTTGCTTGGCCGGCCGACTTTCACACATTGTCAACATCTTTCTCGGGCGGAGCATGCCTTCGCCAGAGGAGCCTCGGTTCTGCTTGATGACACGAGGTTGGAAGGCCATGGTCTTCTTGAAGCCCGCTGCGAACTCCTCGGGTGTGTAGTAGGCCAACGTGTCTTCCAGGCCGATGTTCATCGTAGCCACCTTGCAAAGCGCATCCTTTGCACCCATCTTTTCCATCACATCTGGGGATGGCCAAATCTGGATGCCGGCCTTGCGAAGGGCACGCATCCCATCATCGAACTTCTGTTGATCTCCCCCGTCGGCTTTGATTTGCCCCGGGTTGCAACGAACGATAATGAAATCAAACTTCTTGCAAAGGGTGAAGAAAGTGTCGTGTTCCTCATGCGTATAGTGGATCAACTGGCACGACATGCCTGCGTTAATCATGCCGTTGGCCATGGGGATGGAGTCATAGCGGTGCCCATTGTTGCCTTAGATGTGCACAACTGCGATCCCATTAGCTACTAATATCGGGCACGGTGACGGAAAACACCCTGACTATAACAACGCTTGGGAATCGTGGGGTCAGGCTCCAAATTAGACCCCCTACAGGCCCGAAAGTTTCAAGCAAAGCGCGCACCAGTCAAGTCTCTGGCAAACGCTAAAACTTGGTCAAGTCTCTTGCAACTGCTAGAATTTGGTCAAGTCAAAGGCAAGAGCTGCAAGAACTTGGTCAAGTCTCTTGCGAATGCAAAAACATGGTCAAGCAAGTACTAAAGCTTGATCAAGTCTCTTGCAAGTACTAAATCTTGGTCAAGCCTCTCGCGAATGCTCAAACTTTGTCAAGTCTTGCAAATGCTCAAACTTGGTCAAGCCTCTTGCAAGTGCAAAAACTTGTCAAGCCTCTTGCAATTCAAAAACTTGGCCAAGCCTCTTGCAATTCAAAAACTTGGCCAAGCCTCTTGCAAGTGTAAAAACTTGGTGAAGCCTCTTGCAAATGACAAAGCTTGGTGAAGGCTCTTGCAATTGCAAAAATTGGTCAAGCCTCTTGCAAATGCAAAAACTTGATCAAGTCTCTTGCAAGTGCTAAAGCCTGAGCAAAACTCTTACAAGTGCTAAAGCCTGGGCAAGATTTTGCAAATGCTAAACTTGATCAAGTCTCTTGCAAGTGCTAGACTCTTACAAATGCTACAGCCTCAGCTAGACAGACCAAGTACCTTCAGGAAGAGCCCTTTCGACCAAGTCTTTCGGGAAACGTTTTTACGCCGGCATAGCGCGGTGGAATTAAGATGCAATAAAACGGCGTCAGGTGTTTCCTCACCCAGCAGGATTGTGGCAGCGGGTATCTGAATTGTATAAGAGATACTGTAATTACCCCGTCGTGACCTCTGCTGCTGCAAGGGCGGCCAGTCCAACGACGAACAAAACAACAGACAACAAACATAACAAACTGCAACACCAACAAGACACAATCAGAACTGAACACCAAACAAAAACAGAGATACCACAAAAAGAGACAGGTCCAACGGAGATAACCGTATCGTGACCTCTGCTGCCGCAAGTCCAATGACAAACAAGACAGCAAACACCAAACAATGACACACAGACAAACCACACAACGAACACAAGGGCAAACGACAAACTTTGACACAAAATAATGGCAACACCAAACATACGGCCCACAACACACAACAGAGGCCAATACTCAAGGACAATTACTACAACAAACCGCCAACCCCGACTCAGTTATCCTACCAGTACCAGTGTGCCTGGGCTGCGCTGGTCAGGACAGTAATTTGGCCTTTTTGTGAAAAAGGCTCTGCTAAAGTTCGGAAAGCTGAAAACGATGTGTGCAAAAGTTATACAGCTTTTCCAAAAATGTCAGGCCAGGCCCCTAACAAAGGCCATAGCAACAAGCAGCACGCCCCCCTGGCAGTCTCACGCCACTCAACACATGAAATGCAAGCAGCAAGCCCCTTTTGTTGCAGCAGGTGCCATGGTGGCAGGCATGATGTTGCACGCATACAAGTATGAATTGATGGCCGCGATCGCAACAGCATTGCCATTCTCAAACACTCTGACAATGGCAAAGCAGTGGCAACGCATTGGCAAAGCAGCTGCAGTCAAGTCAAGGCAACGCAGCAAACAGCAACACACGGTTTGCCATGACGTAAAAGTATGCGGACAACAGTGTTGCTTTTCACGAATTCGGTCTGACAAAGTAAAAACAGTTGCAGGTTGCAACTAAAGTAGACCATGAATTTACTGATTGTACCTGCACCGACACCAAAGCGCCCACCCAGTTCCAAAAACACCTGGAACAGCACCTGGACCTGGACCCACAGAAACTGCATCAAAAGCGCATACATAATCAGACATAGCTCCAGAGAGGAAGGAATGTGACAATGTGAGAAGAAAATAGAAGCTCCAAAGGCCCCTTTAATTAGCACCATTCATTCCCACTTGATGCAGGTTTTGCTTGTCATTGTCCCTTGCCCCTTGCTGTTGCTGTAGCTATTCTGTCTTGCCCTTGCTCTTGTCACTGGGTGCGCACTTTGGCTTGTTATTCATATGTTCACTGCGGCATGCATGATATTGCTCTTTTCATATTGTTCTGCCGTTGCTATTGGCATTGTAGCATTGCTCTGGCCAGGGTGTCTTGACATTGGCGTTGTCATTGTGGTTGCAAGTGCTTCGTAACTATATACAGTAACTAAAGTTAAATGTCCTCTGTCATTGGCACTGTCACTCTGTGTCGTTCCTGCCGTACTTGACGCATGTCACTGTTGTTGTAATTCTGGCCTATCATTGGTCCTAGCACTGGGCTTCTCATAGAAGCTGTCATTCTGTTGGAGTTGGCAAGTTGGCAGAAGGCATTGTGTTAATTTAACGTAGCTGTAGCTCCTGCCATTAACGGAGGCTTATCATAAACGTTGCAACGTTGTTTGCATTTTCCGGATTGCTGCTGTCCTGATGCCATATTTGCTGCCATATTGACTTGTGATTGATGCCGTCATTGAGGCTTTTCGATCTTGCTGCCGCTCTTTTTGCTGAGTCGTGTATCTTCGGTATGTCGATAACTATGTCTTTTCTGTCGCTGCCACAGCTGCCTTTCATTGCAACTAGCCCGCGTGTCGTCAAAGTCTCATTGTTGTCCTTGCGACTTCTCCTGCGTCTTGTCGTTCATGGTGTGCTCTTTCTTCTTGTCTTGTTTTTGCAATTGCTCTTATGATGGTTGCACTTGCCTTGATCACTTGTCCCTGCTGGGTCACTTCATTGGAGAGATCATTACCACTATTGTGGACCATCGGTTAATTATCGTTATCTCTCTCTCTCCCTCTCTCTCTTTTGCACCTAGCAGGGTCCTGATTGGGATACGGGTTGCCCTGAGGGGTCTTGGTGGGATTTGACAAAGGGCTGTCGAAAATCTGTCTGAAGCTGGACCTCTGAGTTGCTCTCGTCTGAACCTCCATAGGGCTGGCCACGCACAAAGATTTGGCAAAGGGCGCCCTTGAACTTGGGCTCCTTTGGCTGCTCCAACAAGCCCTTATAGTCCTTGGCCACCACGGTGATGGCGCTGCAATCCACGGGCCCGGGGCAGGGGCCACCTTTGTTGCAAGCATCTTTGATCTTCGCGAGCTGATCAGCTGGCAGCTCTCGCAAGGCCGCTGCGATCTCCTCAGGTGACTTTCCGCTGATGGCACCCTTCACCTCCTCTGTAGATGCACCAGACCCCATGTTTTTGAGCGAAAGGACTGAAGCAAAAGACTGAGAGCAAACCGCTGCTTGGACCAACTGCCAAGATAGCCACAGGCGGCCGCAGGGTGCACCATGTGTTCACTTCAGTGCAGAAGAGCAAACACACAGCACTGCAGCATACTGCAGCAAATTGGTATATATATATATACACGTGTGTGTGAAAATGGTCATTACTATGTAGTAGTTCTGCAGCCTCCCAGCAACACATAAAATAACAACATCTTCACGACCACTCCTGACTCATGGTCTGTAACAAGATCTGACTGTACTTCCCAATTCGGGTGGCTTGGCCTGGCCCCACTCTGGATTCCCCTATCTCAGATGCACGGTGCCCAATAAGCCTGTCGTGGGCCACAACTGAGCGGTTTCAAACAACAAACCCGCGAAATCCTCTGAATCCTAACGTCTCATAGCCTTATTGTGACTTGCAGTGGCTCCGGGGCAAACGGCAGATGGTTCTGCTCTTTGCACGGCGGGGAGCAGCAGTCTAGTCTAGGAGTCTCAACCGAACGCCCGTACTTTGCAGCTTAGGGGTGCCTCAACATGCCTCGACGAATTTGACATGAAACTGCCGCCACCTTGACCACAAAGAACAAAGAAGAAGTGGATTGCCTCCTGCACTGTTCAGCCTCAATCATCCTGCAAAATCAAACGGGAGAGAAAGTTCTAACAGAAAGTTCCAGTCACTAGCTGCAAGACAACTCAAAAGAACATTCACCATGAAGTCCCAATGTTGATGATTGTTGATGTGCAACTTTGATGTGCAACGGGACTCGATTTTCACCCCATCGGGCGCTCTCGGGAGCACTGCTGCGCTTCGAGCAGCTTCAGCGCATATGCGGCCGGTTCAGATGGAAGCTTCTGGGCTGCCTTCTTGGCCTCTTCTGGAAACTTAGCCTCAGTAAAACGACATGAAGTCAGTCCAAAGCGACAATGGCTACCTCCCAATTGTCCAAACACGTGAGCAGTCTGACAAAATGCCGAATGTCTGTGCAAATCGATCACATCCTAGTGCCTCTAGGCCGCACAACCCTCCTCAAAGAAATCGACGCAGCACCGGAGCACCTCATCCAAGGGAGCGGGCTGAAACCCATAGACCTGACCAAAGGCTGTGCTTACAAAGACTCATGAAGACCGCGCGCAGTTGAGCTGTGTGTTCCTGCCTCCTTCGCCCGGGTGCAATTCAGCGGCCAGGGTCGATCAACACTTGGAAGGTACAGTTTCCTGCTCGACTCCAGGCTTCGCAGTTATGATTTTAGGTTGAGCAATGGAGCCGTGTATGGCCCATCACGTGTGTATGTCAAACACGACGCGAGGGCTTCTTGTTCGGACAAGTTTCGGGTTTTGCTCTGGGGCCATGCGTGGGCGTTTGCGATCACCCCCAGCCACCACGAAGAAGCGCTCAAGGAACGCACTGAGCTGCAATTGCTCGTCACCTCACCAAGACAATACCAATGGCCACTGCACAAACAACCTGGTGGTTTGGGCTTGTTTAACACCATCGGTATTGCAATACTGGAGTTACTGGATGTTACTGGACTGTTCTTACTTACAGTAGTTTAATATCCGGGGTCCCAAGTCTTCACAAAGCTATAAACAACTATATACAACTATTGAGATGCGGCTTCTTCTGTGGACTTCTCTCTTCTCAACTGTCATCTTCCCTCTCTGTCTGCCACAGAGCTAAGGCTAGGGCAACATAAGTTAATAACATCTGCGCGGCTCTCGAGTGCTGCGGGTGGCTGCATGACCAGTCTGGCCAGAAACCTGAATGCAGAATCGCCCGAACTCGAATTAAACTTAGGTAATATTGTTGGCGTGGTGACGTCTGCACGTCCTGAGCAAGTAGGTAGAACAAACCCGTAGGAGTTGAGGGCGTCTGAGTCTTGACCCACCGTACCTCAGGGATTGAAATTGATTCTACGAGGAGCTTGGCCACGTCCAAGCTGTAGACCACTGCCAGTTGGCAATCACCAGAGGCCTTACACGTCGAAAGAATAAAAGGGACGAGGCGAGAGGAGATGACGAAGCACTTTGAGGGCGAGAATGCGAGAGATGGACTGCACAAGCAAGAGAGAGAGAGAGAGGTCCCTTTTGTGGCGTGTCATTTCAACTCAGCTTATATCGTTGCAGCATCAATAGTGAGTTCATCAACAGGTAACTCAACGTTGCACCTTTCACTTCAATGTTTGACTGATCTTCAATTCTCACAACTCTTCACTTGTGTCGTCACACCTGAACTCAACCCATTATATATGTCATGTTCCCTTCATATTGTGGGCCTCCCACAAGCAAGGAGGAATTGGCCGAGTTGAACTCGCCAGCAGGAGGGCATATACATTTGATCAAGCATTAGGTTCCTGCGCAGGTATCTTATCTGCTATCTGTCTCGCATTTCGCAGAATGATTTTCTCTGAAGAAGGTGGTCGACACCGTCTACGGAAGCGCACCTGTGGAACTTCCAAACCATCTGCATCGAACATTTTCCTGGAGGCCAATCTGCTCTGCAATAAACCCCCTCCAAACATGCTTTCACTCCTCCTTGGTCTAGTTCAAGTTTGGCGGCAACGAGTATGGCTTGCGATATCTGCTACCCATGAACGGTCGAACATTCGAACATCTATGTGTATTTTATATATACATATACTTAGGGTTAACAAGGGTCCATGGGCCATTCAAGGTTGGGTTCACCTGGGTGAAGGGCTCATTCAAAGCATCGCTCCTCTTCCGCTTGTAGCTCTGGACTTGCGGCGGGGGAGCTCCCATTTCACCCACTCGCAGCCAGTGCCAGTATGCCCACAAGCGGTGCCTTGGCAGTTCTCGGTCTATGCCATGAACGAACACCCACGTGGCCCATAGCTTCAGTGAGACGAATGGGGCAAGCAATGTCATTGACAATGAGTAAAGAACAGGCGAATACGGGCGCTGTATATGGTCCATTCAGATAGAGCAAGAGACCAAAGCAATCTACGCTGCTTGCCAGGCTGCGTTGAATCGAAGGGGCCAATCACATCCGGCAGCCGCAGGATCAGGCCTCGTCGTCCCGGTGGTAGATCCTGGAAGCCACGCTAAAGGGGCTCCAAGTTACCCCACCAGACCCACAACATGACAACTACACTCTGTCACTGGGTCCTGTAACAAGCGTTCTTCACCCTGGAGTTTTTTCGTGTCCATAGCTGTCAGCATTGTTCAAGACATCCTGCTGCTCCTTCCCAGTACTCAAAATCCACAGCCTCAACCGCCTGAAATGGCTGTTCCAAAATCAACATGAAACCAATCAAACTGACCATCAAACCACACCAGAACTCTGGCCGCCACCGGGTCCTTATCCTCAGGACGGTTAGCAAGGTGCTCGGATACGGATGTCTCATAGCCGCCAGAGCTAGAACGCCTAGCAAGTCTATAGGAACGAGACAAAAACAAGCACAGCAACACGTAATCCTCTTCAGGTATTCTGTTAGAACCAGCTCTTGTCATGAAGGCCTTGTGGTTGTCTGATGTCACTCAAGCCCTCAAGAAACTGCTGGCCATGTTGCCTTGGCTTCCATTTGTCGTACGCCCAAGCACTCACCTGCCATGGATCCAGCAATAAGCAAAGGTATGGTGGTGGGCTGCCAACAAAACAGTGAGTGCGCCTCATAGATGGAATCTGAAGAGATGTAAATGTACATCTTAAAGGCCTAGTAAACACGGTGCAAACAGAGGCACCAACCACTTTTCTGGGCTGTGGATATGTGTAAACAAATGTAAACAGTGAGTCCTCACTTAGAGTAAAAACTTGCGACGACAGGCAACCACTGGAAATGTAGGTGTCTGTTTTTTTGTGAGGTCCTGAGTAAGGAACTCAGCAAGAAAATAGTGAACATAGGTTGGGGTGTTCATGCAACATGTGATTGCGGAGACCTAGGAAAGCAAAGCATGGACAGGAAAATAGTGAGCAAATAGCAAGAAAATAGTGAGAAAATAGTGAAAAAGTATTTTGGCCACCCTCAGCGGTTGGCTGGACTCCATCTCTTAAACTTAGAGCCATGAGAGCCTATTGCCGATGCCGACAGGGGGCAAATGGCTGAAATTAACGGTCGCTGTTATCCATGCACTTAACCATCCATAGATGTGGCACTGGACTTTACTGTTAAGGTGGGTGACCTGTGGTTACCTTCTGAAATAGCTTTGGGTGTGTCAGACAAGAAGTCAAGTTCATGCTCTATGAACCATGCCAAGCCACACCAGCCAGTCCGGTCAGCGAGGCTTTGACGTCCTCACCTCAAACGATGGGCTCAACTGGAAGCATCAGAACATGGGCTTTGAACAACCTGAACAGCCTGAACAGCAGGCAAGCATCCTGTGAAGCCGGAGAAATCGACCACGCAATCCCAGTCACTGCCTACATTGTCAGTTCGGCATGCCATTCTTTTGGGCATCCAAGTTGACTTGAAATTGCAAACACTTCTCTGATAAGAATCGACAAAACCATGCCCCATATGGGAGCCATGGAATTTATATATATATATGTGTATATATATATATATAATATGTATATATAATTAGGTGAATTTAGGATGCAATTATCTATAGTTCAGCGTGTTTGAAGCATCAGTCAATAGGTGTCAAAAGTATTGATGTTATCCCATCTCCAAGTTGGCAGACTGGACATTCCAGCGCGCCTAAACGCCGCGTCGCCTCCCGCACGCTGCTTGCAAAGGTGGCACTCTCGTCACGATCAGCACGAACACGTGCCACACGATCTGCCTGGTAAGTTGGTCACAAGCAACAATCACGACTCACGACCCCAAAGAGTGATCTGGAACAGAGAATGGTGGTGAAAGGGCATCAATAAGCGCCATAAGTCATAAGCTTGCAAGCTGCAAAAGGATCCGCTGCCCAGTACGTCTTCCCACGGTTGACCACACAAACACCTAAGTCCATCCATTCAGTAGCTGGAGATTGGAGTGCAGGACTGCTCCATTGTGATTGTGCTTGACCTTCTTCACCAAAAAAGTTCTTCCCGTCTTATCCTGTCTCATCCCATCTTCCAGGCAGGGTTGAGGGCATCGCGGGCTTTGTCCAGCACTTCTCCAACAAACGCCTGGGCGCAGAATAGGTCACATGTAGTTGCAAACAGTCTACGTACAATTGGAGCATCGTGGGTCATCGATGATCAACAAAAGCGAACCACACAAAAAGCGGTCCTTGCCCATAAACTTTGTTCCACCCAAAACGAGCACAGCTGGCTTCTCAGAGTTTTGCAGCGCCTGCATCTCGCTTCCAAACCATCAAGTCATCAAGTCTTGAAAGTTTCCATCCAGCTCAGAAAAAAAGGAGTATGGCTTTGTGCAGGGACCCTTCAATCTGTCCCATGCTCTGTGTGCGATACCTGGAAGCCCTCAAAATTGCTCTCCCCTGCCATGGCTTCGATTGCTCTGGCACTCAGTTAGGAGGTTGAGTGAGGTTAAGCTTTGGCATGTGGCTCTTGCAGCTTCAGTCTATCCTAGAAACATCTAGAAACGGATTGCTGGGGATCCGTGTTTCTCGTGTTTGTGTGGGATTTCCTCTCACATTCCTGGCTGCCGTGCTGTTTTGCCCAATGCCAATTATACAAATGCTCCCCTTGCTTGTTTTCGATGTTACAATGCGAAATCACGAACATTTGAAGGCGATTGAAGGCTATTCAGTGACGTCTGAATGTGGCACTTGAAGCTGCATGACGGTCCTCCAAGGACCGAAGTCATATCATGTCATATCCTCAGTTTTCTCATGGCATGCCATAAACACAAACAAGGGGGATGGCTTTGGATGGCCGGGCGTAAGCTTCAAGCTGTTCAGGTCCGCAGGTGGCATTGCCAAAAACTCAATGAAGACCATGACGCAGGTATTGATTCTAGCGTTTTCCTTTGACTATGTAAAGATGCCAAACAAAGAACATGTCTGTCTTGCAACAGTGGTGCCAAGGCTAGCAGCGGCCATTTTCCACATCACCAAGAGACTTTCAGCTCGAAAAAGCTGCAGCCCTGCACGCCAGCATATGCCTTGGACATCGTCGAAGGAAAGGTCACACTGGCGGTCTTTACAAAAGGAGTTCAACCGTCAGTTCAAACGTCTTGAAGCCATGGCTGGTCAGCAAGAACGTCACCTGATTTTGATACATGCGATAAAGGCAGCCAAGGTGCGGTGTGGTACACCTGCCAGTGCGGCGAGTGAGAACTGCGTGTGCCGAAAACTGTGACATGGAAATCCACCTGGCCTAAATCCGATTTAGGCCAGATCGGGCTACGGTGAATGGGGGGTGTGGGAGAGGGGGTGTCGTTCACATCAAATTTGAGACCACGGTCCGTGCTTCCAGGCCTTGCAAATCTCTGTTTTGAAACCCCGCGAGGCCAAGCAGCTGCGAATCCAGGCAGGACCATCAGCTTCCAACATCCAAGGCCTCCAAAACCTGGGAATAACCGAAAGCTTCGGGGCACAAAATTGGAAACACCTTGTAGGTACTGGAGGGTGATGCTTGACAACCCTCTTACCTAAGTCCATACCATGCAGGCTGGGACCCATGGTGACACTCTGTGCTCAGGTGTGAGCTGTGGGTCCAAGTCACGAGATCAGTTTGATATTCTGATTCAGGTAGTACGAGGTGAGGCCCTGATCAGCAGCTTTGCGGAACTCATGGAACAAGGTGCCAGAAATGTCCTGATCGAGTTCAAGTTCGTGAGCGTGCGAGCGGGCTTGACAAGGCTGAAAATACTAGTTACAATGGCACCACTGCTAGTAGCTACAAGAATACACGCTACGAGCAGCTAAGCGCATCACTACCAGGACAAATGCATTTCTATTAGCAGCTAGAAGCTACTAGTAACACCAAGTACCGAGTTACACACGCTCTAGGTGATCTGTCCTGAAGGCGGACGTTGTTGACTCTGACTCGTAGGCTGCTGGCAGTGATGCTGGCTCCAGTTTGGTCTCCCACGAAGTCACCTGACTACAAAAACGGCACCATGTTGGACACACCTGGCTGAAATCTAGCATCTAGCATATTTTGGAAGTGGTCTGCAAAAATCCAACAGCTGACGGCCGACTCACTCTGGAAGCCAAACAGCCAAGTCTCAAATTAAATCGCGGCAAAGCAATGGCAATGAAGCCACCAAACGCCGACGGCACAGCCTGGAATTCCTCAACTTTGGGCTGAAGGCGGTCCAACATTTGCAGTCTTGAACGACTCTGGAACAACATGTGGAAAACTGAAAACAATCAACCCCCTGCAAATGTAGCTACTGGTGCCTACAACATTCCCGAACACATCCAACAAACATCCGTTCTGAAGACGTGATGACTACGTGATGTTCATGCTTAATATGGCAAGATTAAGCCGCCTGCCAAACATGCACAAACATCAAAGCAATCACAACGTCTGGATACATCTGGATACATATACAAAATGTCAGTACTGTGAACTGGGCCATGTCGGCCCGCTAGTTGATCGCTAGCGGTTCACTAGCTCACCAGCCTCCTTTTTCCGGCACAGCGGCCGCAAGAAGGTAAACGGCGGCGGCTCAAGGCCACCTGCAGTGTCAACATTATCATCTCCAAAAGTTTCTCTGCATGCCATCCATCTTGGCGGAAACGCACCTGAACGCAGGAAAGCCAGGCGACCAACTGCATGTTCACCAATCTTCGTGGCAAATTCCCTCCACAACGGGCAGTCTCGAGCTCCACCCAGTTCGTGAAAGGGTCCTCACCACAACACGCAAGTAACTTGAGGCCTGCGGATGAAGGAATGCTACATTTGCATTTGGGCCAGAAGCGAGTGATAAGGCATGACAATGGGATGCACAGCTAGGAGGTGAGCTTGGCAAAGTCTAGCCGCAGCCAGCTAAGCCAAATTGAGATGAATTGCTCGGTCTTAGCAGCTTAACTGCATGATGTTCATCAACAATGGTGTGAGCCAATTGGCCCACAGCAACGCTTCCCCACCTTCCGAATCAAAGCCCGGGGGCTGCAATCTGACAGGTCGCTAGGCACACCTCATGGCGCTTTGCCGGCGATACGTCTTTTGTCGCACGATTTTGTTCGCACTATGTGTCATTCAGTCTGGCCATGCGCCCTAAGGCGAGTGTAAAACGAAGGGACATGAAGGCACTCCCATTTCCAAAAGCGTTCCCGACCTAAGGACTGACTGAAACTAGTTTGGGACGGGTCAAATCAAGAAGGGTGACTCATGCTGCTGGCAGCTCTGCCAACATCTTGCCGATAACCCTCCATGGCGTGGAAAGGAGCACAACAAATTAACAAAGCCTGATAAAAGTTGAACCAACGGTTGTTGTGAAACACTGCGCAACTAATGCTGCACTAAGGTATTGGTGCTGTGGTGGCACACAACCTGCCTTCCAGGTCACATTGCATTATCTCAAGTGTGTCGAAAATGTTCTCTCGTTTGGACCAAATACTGCGAAGGGAACAACATAAGTGCGGCATTACCTGTTCACACCCGATCAATGTTGCAATTTGCGCACGTAACAGGGTATCGGTGTGGGCCCGAAATGCATATATATATATATAAGCCCAAATAGTGCAATGGGATACGACATGCATGAACACACAACTTGAAAGCCTTAGCGAATAAAACAACAAAGCATCACCTGACCAATGACATCCCGAGAGATCGGGCCTGCTGCCCACAACTGCACCTCAAGTTTGCTGTTGTTGCGACGGTCATGCACATGAACTGCACATGGTTCAAAACTGATTGTTACCAAAAAACATAGGTCCCGCACGATGCTTGCGGCTGCTGCGGGTTTGAAATTGTCACAATGAAGAAAAATATCAAACAGCATTGTAATAATTATACGGAATTACGGGGTTGGCTAAACTGTCTCAGGGTTGGTTCAATGTGAACGGTTCAATGTGAACGGTTCAATGATATAATTTCCATTGCATGCGACATCAAACATCAGCCCGCGTGTATGTTCCTGATTCATCCTGATTCAATTTCGTGAAGATCGGCACAAACTGGCCAAATGCCAGAACACCTGGCCCTCAGCCATGACATTGATACACCAACAGGTGCTTGCCAACTATACACGAGCATCGCCCCAAACAGCTAAATTACGCATTTGCAAACCCAAAAACCCATACCACCGTAGAACTGACTCGTTTACATTAAATTACGAGAACAACTGAAACCATATATGTGTTCGCTGCTGCTGGGTGACGTTGCCACCAACAATGCGTGAGCGTTCATGGCGCAAATGGTTTGCGGGCGTTTGCGGGCACACTACCCGCACAACGGGGTTTGAACCAAAAGGACTACGAAGACCCCAGTTGTTTCCCATGTGTGGTTTGAGGTTTCCAAAACCTGTGTTAGGCTGCCGTGCCTGTGAGGGCCCTGGCGTTCATGCATGTTGGCGGCTTCGCTTCCCATGTCGCTCGCTTTTCGCTTCGATTCGCTAGAGGACGTAAAAAATCCTCCGAAACTGTTGGGCCGGAAAACTCATGTAGTCAAAATTGATAGAAACTGCATCGAAACTCCAAACACGAAAAGTTCCGAGCAACCCCTACAGCACTTTAACCACTTCCCCAAAAAAACGATCCGTCTAAAAACGTCTAGAACGATCTGGAACGTGGGAAATTAGACAGTTCCTATGCTAAATTTCACAACCTATGGGTTATGATGGCTGGAAACATTTCGAAAAAATATAAGTTGTTGGAAAGGTGCGGAGGTAGGAAAACTTGCAAAATCAAATAACCCCCATTTAGCAGCGGATCATTAGCAAACTCTTTTTCAAACATCTCTTTGTACTGCTGGTGTTCACAGCACATGTCTGTGACATGCTTCTGTCTGCATGTTGGAACTGGATTGAAACCAGCTTGAAGCAATTCAGATCACAACTGTGAACATATCAAACCAAATACTTTATTCAAACAAATGAAGAGGTGAATCAGGTGAAGTTTGAAAACCATATACTTGGGAATTTTTCTTACCAAAAACTTCACTTCGGCCAGCGCTGGTCTGCACTTGTCAAAAAAGTATAACTGGGGACCAAGTTTCCGGGACCTGTAATGTTGGAAAAGATTATACTTAACATATTTAAAAAAATATATATATATAACTATAACTGCGGACCAAGGTTCCGGGACCTGAAATTTGTAGTTTGTAACCTTATAAAAAGAGTATTTATATACATAACTGGGGACCAAGGTTCCGGGACCTGTAATGTTGGAAAACAATATTATACAATTTTTAGAAAAAACATATATATATATATAACTGGAGATCAAGGTTCCGGGACCGGTTCCAGAACTTTTCCAACATTGCAGGTCCCGGAATCTTGGTCCCCGGTTCTATATTTTGTAATTTTCCATTTTTTTCCAACATTACAGGTTCCGGAACCTTGGTCCCCCGTGCCCAAATATATGTTTGAAAAAAAAGATTGTCTTTTCAATATAAGAGGTCCCGGAACCTTGGTCGCCAGTGCCCAGTTATATTTTCTTGAAACATATATATTTTTTGAACATTGCTGGTCCCAGAACTTTGGTCCCCAGTTATTAAGAAATAATTTATGTATTTTTTCCCGGCTATGTGGTTCTGGACTCACACATCCAGTTGTGTGTTTTTGTGATTTGCAAATTGTAACCTTTTTCAAGTTACATCACAGTCAATTATATTTTTTGTTTTGAAGGGTTCAGGCCATACACATCTGGACTGGTGCCTTATGCCTTCAAATACCGGTATAGCAGTTTCTTTATAGTTAAACACTGCATCCCTGAGTTCGCATAGTGCCACACAAATCCCCAGTTACATAAAACTTATGCTTTATAATGAAAGTGACAAGGGTTCAGGGATATCGGCACCAAACAGCCACCACAACCTACGGAGTGGGAGATGTTCAGCAAGATACCCAATGGTGTTTTGAACCCTAGTATGGGATGGAACACGACGGGGAGTCCCGGAGGGATTGGTCCCCGTAGTGTAAGAGTGGGATGTGAGTTAGGGGAGGGAGCACCTACGGCAACCGACCCGAAACCAAACACAACCCGAAATGCGCGAAGGCACGAAATGCACGAACGAAAGCCTGCACGGGCGAGCGCGAGCGAGCGACGTGCACGGAAGCTGAAAAGCACGACGGGCGCGCGCTTTTCTTGAGCCAAAAGCGAAGTCAGTGAGAAACCTGAAAAGGTGTTTGAACTGACCTAGCTAAACATGTCTGTACATGAACCGCATGACAAATAAGGGGTTAATCCTGGTTCATGAATTTCGACTCCCCCCTCGCCGTTTTGGCGTGCCATGGGTTGTATGTACAGGAATTAATTACCGCGCATTATAAGCAGCGGCTTTTGCAGCTACATCGGCTCCTAGCGAAAAGCTTCGATCCCTAAGGGATGGCTTCGGCTCGCGAATATCTGTACGTATGCCGAGAAGGCACAAAGCTTTGTACCACTTCTGTGGTGGCAGTGCTTTAGTAAAGATGTCGGCGGCCTGTTCGTTGGTGTCGATGTATTGCACATTGATGCATGGGTCATCGAGACACTCTTTCAAGGATGAGAGGTTTATCTTGTGTGCGCGGCCGATATGTCGAAGTTTCGGGGAGCACCCCTTACGAACGACTATGATGGTGGCTTGGTTGTCCTCGTGGATAACTAAGTCCACCGGCCTCTGCAAGAGTTTCTCCCAGAGTTGAAGAGCAGGTATACCCTCCTGGTACAAAGAGTGTGCCAAACTCACCACCTCGGACTCCGTGGTGGAGCGTGAAGTGGATGTCTGTCTTTTCAAGATCCATGCAAGTGGGAAAAATGTGTTAGGACCTTTTAGTACGAGGAACCCGCCCGAGGTTGACTTGACGTCACCGGCATCGCCTCCAAAGTCTGCGTCGACATATAGCTCAAGCCTGAGATCTCTTGCAGGGACATGCTCCTTCGTGCCGGGGCACTCGCTCCTTGACACTATTGGGTCACAGCATATGCAACAAGGGGTTCATCAAGTTGCTGGGACTAGGGAAGGGGCGATTCAGAACCCTCCAGAAGTCGGTGCGAGAAGGTGCTCCAACAGCGCCATTGGATGGCAGATATGTCCCAAAGGGACCTGGGAAACAGAGCTACAAGAGAAGTTTGGTGAACCATTTTCTCCATCAATTATACCACACAGCTGGAGAATCACTGCCCGACTCCGCTCATCCATCGTCGAACAAACGCCCTCGCCAGGGCCCATACAAATATGACCAACCACTGCTGGACAGATCCAAGCTGCGCCACTTACCGGCAGGGAAGTTTTCGGACTACTATCGATTGTGCACTTCGGAGTTTCCACAAGAAAAGATCTCGAGATCTCTCTTCACATCCGCCTGGGCCCCAAATGTGAGCGACGTGGCAAAGCGTGTCCGCGAGTGATTGCACGCTGGTACGCTGGTACGCTGGCGGTGGCTAGCTACGCTGATGACGCTGGTTACGCTGATTACGCCGATTACGCTGGTTACGCTGGTTACGCCGATTACGCTGGTTACGCTGGTTACGCTGGTTACGCTGGATACGCTGGTTACGCTGGTTACGCCGATTAAGCGGATTACGCCGATTACGCTGGTTACCCTGGTTACGCTGGTTACGCTGATTACGCCGATTACGCCGGTTACGCCGATGACGCTGGTTACACTGGTTACACTGGCTCCGATGATTACGCCGATTACGCCGGTTACGCCGATTACGCTGGTTACGCTGATGACGCTGGTTACGCTGGTTACGCTGATTACGCTGATTACGCCGATTACGCTGGTTACGCTGGTTACGCTGGTTACGCTGGTTACGCTGGTTACGCCGATTACGCTGGTTACGCTGGTTACGCCGAATACGCCGATTACGCTGGTTACCCTGGTTACGCTGGTTACGCTGATTACGCCGATTACGCCGGTTAAGCCGATGACGCTGGTTACGCTGGTTACGCTGGTTACGCTGGATACGCTGGTTAC